TCCATGTGAGAAGCCTGCTTCTCCCTCTGTCTATGTCTCTGCCTTTCCCTCTGTTTCTCTCATAAATAAATTAATTAAATAAAATAAATAAAAGGGGGAACACGAGTGATGGATGGGAGCTGATTGTGGTAATCCTTCTGCAACATCTATGTGTATCAAACAATTATGTTGTGCACCTTACACTAATACAATGTCATATGTCAATTACATCTAAATAAAATTGGAGGAAAAAATTGGAGGAAATTTTTTAAATTTTAAATTTTTAAAAATGCAGAAAACTTGACTTCCTGGTTTTCAATTAGCTCAGTTGGTAAATGAGTGCAGTCAAGGCCACCAAACACCTTAGTTTGCCCGCAGCTCTCTAAAGGGCAGGTACCAGGAGCTTTGTTCTTTGTTGATGGGGGTGTTTGCCTGAAAGCCTGGGCTGAATTCACCCCCATCCCCCACCCGTGTCTCCTTGTATTTAGGGTCAGAGCCCTCTGCAGTGAAAGACCAAAGGGAAGGGGGCTGGTAGCTAGAAGGCAAACTCACTACATTCTTTGCCCAGGAAAGCAATTTGAATAAGGTTGAGAATGCTTGGGAAGGTGTCAGAGACCTTGAATTTGTGGGGTGGGCTGTGTGTTGGAGGAGGGGTGTGTTATAATGTGCTTAGACTCCAGGGCTGTAAATGCAAAAGTGATTTTAGATTTTGTCTTCCTAGGAGCATAATCCAGAAGGGGGAAGAAAAACAAGAGCTGAATATTAAAAATGAAAAATATTTTCACTTAAAGGTAAGAAATGCACCGCAGGCAATGTGATGTTTTAAGAGCACAGATGTCCCAACTTTGCATCAGAGTTTGGTGACCTGTCAGGATAAGGAAGAAGTGGCAAACATTATAAGTATTTTTTAAAAAGATTTGATTTATTTATTCATGAGAGACACAAAGGGAGAGGCAGAGACTCAGGCTGAGGAAGAAGCAGGCTCCCTGCAGGGAGCCCTAGGTGGGACTCGATCCCTGGACTTTGGATCATGACCTGAGCTGAAGGCAGATGCTCAACACTGAGCCACCCAGGTGTCCCTGTTTCTACTCAATTCTTGTGTACATTTCTGTTCCTGTTTCTCTCTTCTTTACATTGTTTCACTCTACCTAATAAACCCAGTGTATAATTGTTTCTTGTCCCCATATGTACAAACATATGTGTGTATATAGATATAGTTAGTGATTTTTGACACTTTATTGGCCAGGAAGTATTTATTTATTGCTTATTCAACTAATAGTTCATGAGTGCCTGTCATGTGCTGGAGAGAAAAATAATTAAACATCATCTCCACTTTTGAGGAGCTAACGGTTCAGTAGAGTAGATAAAAATACCCCAAAAGACAGTTATAATGTCGTGTGATGAGAAAAAGTAAAAAACCAAAAAGGAGGTATGCATTAGATGCTAATGAACAAATAAGGGGAGGTGTGGCCAGGGAGGGGAATCAGGAAAGACTTCTTGGAGGATGTTCTTTCCATTGAGGCAGAGATTGCAAAAAGGTTGAGAGCATAGGGAAGCAAATTCCAGAATATGAACACTTTTGGCAAAGGCAGTATCAGTGTCTTAGAGAAAATGACGGGTTATTGGAAAGTACAGTTGAGAGACCTAAGAGGTAATGAAGTGACCACAACTAGTGGTCAAAACAAAAACAAACTCGGGATGCCTGGGTGGCTCAGTGATTGAGCATCTATCTGCCTTCCGCTCAGGTAGTAGTCCCAGGATGAGTCCCTCATTGGGCTCCCTGTGAGGAGCCTGCTTCTCCCTCTGCCTGTGTCTCTGCCTCTCTCTGTGTCTCTCATGAATAAATAAAGAAAATCTTAAAAAAAAACAAAACAGGGACATCTGGGTGGCTCAGCAGTTGAGCATTTATTTGCCTTTGGCTCAGGGCATGATCCTGAGATCTGGGATCAAGTCCCAAATCAGGCTCCTTGTGGGAAGCCTGCTTCTCCCTCTCCCGGTGTCTCTGTATCTCTCATGAATAAATAAATAAAATCTTTTTTTAAATAAATAACATCTTAAAAAAGAAAGCAAAACAACCTTGTTAAGTTTTTAATTAAATCTCCTTTCCTCAGTTTATCCTCTATTGGTGTTGTACCTGCTAACTTAATGGTTCTCTCTCTGTCTCCTCTCTGGTTCTTCTCATCCCAGACATCAAAAAGTTAGAGTGTACCAAAGCTTAGTTCTCAAACCTCTTTTCTATCCACACTCACTATATTGGTGATTTTACCCTGTCTTCTTGACTTTCAATACCTTCTGTATGCTTTTGACCTTCAAGTGTACATCTTTAACTCAGACCTATTCTGCAAACTCAATCTCATATATTCAACTGCCTACTTAACCTCCCCACTTGGAATTCTAAAGGGCATCACAAAATTAATATTTCAAAAACCAAACTCCCAATATGCCTCCTATAGTCTTCTCTATCTCAGTGTACGACAATTTCATCTTTTTAGCTGCTCAGACCAAAACCTTAAAAACATCCTTGTTGACTGTTCTTCAAAATATATTTAGAATGCAATTGCTGGGGATCCCTGGGTGGCTCAGCGGTTTCGTGCCTGCCTTTGGCCCAGGGCGTGATCCTGGAGACCGGGGATCAAGTCCCACATCGGGCTCCCTGCAGGGAGCCTGCTTCTCCCTCTGCCTGCCTTTGCCTCTCTCTCTCTCTCTCTCTGTCTATCGTAAAAAAAAAAAAAAGAATGCAATTGCTTTTTTCTTTTGATTTTTGTGTCCTCCAGTGTTTCATTTTTCAATTGCTGGAGTGAGTTTTGATCATCACATGGACTAGTGCTTGGGAAACCAGCAGAATAGCAAGAAATGGTTATTTCTTTTAAAGAACATTTATTTAATTTGTATTGCCTGCATCCCAGGAGAGCTGGGGGCTTGAGATTACCTGTGTCCTCTAGCAAGTGTGCCAATCCAAGCTGCATTTGACTTTTTCTAGAATCTCCAAGGCTACCACTCTCTCTATCCCTTGGATTATTCCAATAGCCACCCAACTGGTTTCCGTGTTTGCATCCTAGCCTTCCCATAATCTAGTTTCAACATACCAGCCAGAATGAATTTTCATTAAGACACGTCATATCAAGGGCACCTGGGTGGCTCAGTCAATTAAGCATCTGCCTTCAGCTCTGGTCATGATCCCAGGAGGATGAAACCCCAAGTCCAAGTCTGCTCCCTGCTCAGCAGGGAGTCTCCTCCTCCCTCTGCCTCTGCCCTCCCCTCATGCACACTCACTTGTGCTCTTTCTCTTACTCTCTCAAATAAATGAAATCTTTAAAAAAGATAAAAAAGACAAGTTATATCAAGCTATTCCTTTACTCAAAATCCTCTTTCGGCATTCTCACATTTCAAGGAATAAGTTAAAGTCCTGGATTACGTGAACCCTTTTGTTGCTTTGTACTTAACCTCTGTCCTGTGACCTTGTGTTCTCCTCTGCCCACCATGACACTGACCTCCTTGCTGATTCTGGAACAAGCCAGGAAATCTCCAGATTCAGGGCTTTTGCTATCACTCTTATCTCTTGCTGATCTGTTCTTCCCCCAGAAATCTAAGCAGGTTGATCTCTTACCTCCTTTCCATCTCTAATATTACCTTCTCTCTCTCTCTTTTGTTTTTAGTTTAATATTTACCCTTCATTTATTTATTTATTTTTAAGATTTTATTTATTTATTCATGAGAGACACAGAGAGAGAGGCAGAGACACAGGCAGAGTGAGAAGTAGGCTCCACGCAGGAGCCTGATGTGGAACTTGATCCCGGACCCCAGGATCACACCCCAGGCCGAAGGCAGGCACTAAACCTCTGAGCCACCCAGGGTCCCCTAATATTACCTTCTCAGTAACATCTCCCACCCCCTATCATTTTCCTCTTGATTTTCCTTCATAACTTTTGTCACCATCGTGCATAGTATCTCTGTTACCTAGCATCCACCTATCTATATCATCTATCATGTTCTATTTCCCTAGAACTACAATACAAGCTAAGGGACACCTGGCAAGCTTAGAAGACTAAGGGTTATGGGTTCCTCCTAGTCAGAAGATCTTGGGGTTATGGGTTCGAGCCCCACACTGGATGTAGAGATTACTAAAATAAATAATATACTTAAAATAATTGTTAAAGTATAAGCTATGTGATGGGGTTCCTGGCTGGCTCAGTCGGAAAAGCATGTAACTCTTCAACTCAGGGTTGTGAGTTCAAGCCTCACATTGGGTATAGAGATTACTTAAATAAATTAATTAAAACTTTTTTTCAAGATTTTATTTATTTATTCATGAGAGACAGAGAGAGAGAGAGGCAGAGACACAAGCAGAGGGAGAAGCAGGCTCCATGCAGGGAGCCTGACTTGGGACTCGATCCCGGGTCTCTAGGATCATTCCCTGGGCTGAAGGCGGCGCTAAACTGCTGAGCCACCAGGCTGCCCTAATTAAAACGTTTTTTAAAAATCTTAAAAATAAAATAAATATAAGCTATGTGAGAGCAATTATTTTAATTTTTGCCGATTTTGTTCAGTGTGGTATCTCTAGCCCTAGAAGAGTATGGGCTATAGGCCACCATCATAATCATTGTTGGACCCTGGCTCACGGGTGCCAACGTGTCCCGGTGGACGCCCCAGAGACTCAGACCCCAGACAGGCAGATGCAGTCAGCAAGAGGGTTTATTGAACGTTTGCCCAAACGGGCTCTCCGCCTCCGAGGAGGAAAAGAGCCCCGATTAGCAATTACAGGGATCTTTTAAAGGCAAAAGGAAAGAACCCCCTAAAGACAAAAGAACCGCGGGAGTCGCATAGCATCCAGGTTGATTTCACAGAGGGTCAACTTGAACCTATTCAGGGACATTCCAATCAGGGTGTGGGGGGAAATGGTTTTCTTACTGTGAACAGAATGCTTTTAGTTGCTAAAATTTCAGGAAGGCGCCTGGATGGGCTGCCTCTGGATTAGGGCTGGCCCTACTTACAAGGGGGGGAGGTTTCTTCCTGAGCTTTGTTTGTATCGGGGCTATCTTGGTCTTCGTAGCCTTCTTTGAAATTGGCCCAGGCCCCATCCCCTGGTTTATTGTGGCCGAACTCTTCAGCCAAGGACCCCGCCCAGCTGCAATGGCAGTGGCTGGTTGTTCCAACTGGACCTCCAATTTTCTGGTTGGGCTGCTCTTTCCTTCTGCTGCAGTAAGTAAATTAAAACAAAACTAACCAAGTCCATTTTGAAACCAGCTCACCTAAGCCAACAGGTTTAAAATCTGGTTACTGACACCACAGGACTAGTTGTCAAGTGTTTCATGTTTGGTGTTTTCTTTAAGATTTTATTTATTTTAGAGAGAGCATGAGATCAAACGTGGAGGTAGGGGTAAGGGGGAGCAGAGAAAGAGGGAGAGAGAATTTCAAGGAGACACTGCACTGAACACAGCCTGACATGGGGCTCCATCTCACGACCCTGAGATCAGGACCTGAGCTGAAACCAAGAGTCAGATAGATGCTCAACTGACTAAGCCACGCAGGCATCCCAGATATCAAATGTTTTAAACCAGATTTTCTTTCTTGTTCTCAATGACCTATAGAAAAAGGAATGGTTGTAAAAAAAGATTGAAGCAGGAAGGCAAAACTGGGAACTTTTATTTTTTTAAAGGAAACTCCACCTATAACATGGGGCTCAAACTCAAGAGCTAGAAATCAAGAGTTGCATGTTCTGCTGACAGAGGGAGCCAGGTACCCCAAAACTGGGAACATTTATTTATTTAATTTTTTAGAGGATTTTGTTTATTTATTCATGAAAGACACAGAGAGAGAGACAGAGACACAGGCAGAGGGAGAAGCAGGCTCCATGCAGGGAGCCCAATGTGGGACTCATCCCCCAACTCCAGGATCACACCCTGGGACGAAGGTGGGCACTAAACCACTGAGCAGTCCAGGCGTCCCAAAACTGGGAACTTTTGAAAGACCACTAGTCTGAGGTGATTACAAAGGCATAGTTCTGCCTAGATACAATGATCATGATAAGTCTCAAAGGATTCCAAACCAGCACTTAAAATCCACAATTTGGAGGATCCCTGGGTGGCACAGTGGTTTGGCGCTGCCTTTGGCCCAGGGCGCGATCCTGGAGACCCGGGATCGAGTCCCACGTCGGGCTCCCGGTGCATGGAGCCTGCTTCTTCCTCTGCCTATGTCTCTCTCTCTCTCCTTCTCTGTGACTATCATAAATAAAAAAAAATTAAAAATAAAATAAAATAAAATCCACAATTTGGATTAGCTAGTGTTAATGACTTCATGACCTTAAAGGCTCATTGAGATGGGAAGGAGAGGAGTTGGGCAATGAGCAGATCTTACACTGATACTCCTTTTTCTGTATCTTTTCACTAGTTCTACTTAGGAGCCTATGTATTTATCATTTTCAATGGCTTCCTCATCGTCTTCTTGGTCTTCACCTTCTTCAAAGTCCCTGAGGCCCGTGGCAGGACTTTTGAGGAAGTCACCCGAGCCTTCGAAGGGCAGGCGCAGGATGCCAACAGAGCGGAGAAGGGCCCCATTGTGGAGATGAACAGCATGCAGCCAGTGAAGGAGACCGCCACTGTCTAAGCCATGCCTCCTTCCCGCCTCCCTCCCAACATGGAAAAACCACCTCTCCCGGATGAGGGAGAAATCGAATCAGGTTGTAACCCAGGACTGTTTCTGGATGCTGCTACTTGATTCCTTTCCCTTCCCCACACACTCCATGAGCACTCAGAAGAACCCAATGCTGGAGTTAGTTGTATCTTCAATGGCTTTTGAAACGTTTCATTTCTTGGACATTCTCTTCTGTTTAGAAGAGACCAGGTGAACCTACCTTCATTTCAGGAGGAACTGGCCACTTGCCATATGACAACATTGCCAGCTCTTCCTACCTGGGGTTCTGGTAGGTCCTCACCAGGGCCAATAGGGGAATAAGAGTGAGGTGCAGCCCCCCCAACACACACACACACACACACACACACACACACACACACACCCAGACCTCCCAGGAAGCATATCTACATAAGTGTGGAGGGCAGAGAGGGATTAAATAGAGGCACCCTCCTCGCTTCCATACAGCTCTGCAGAGCAAATTAACTTGAGTTTTATTTATTTTACCTTCTGGTTTTGTTGCATAAATATTTATTTTTTTAAGTGTAAAGTAATTTTACCAAATAATGCAAACATAAGGAAATTGAGGTTAGAGTTAGAGGGAGGTGCTTAAAGAGAGGTTTATAGGGTAGAAGATTTGATACGGGAGAGGTCAAGGTGCAATAAGGAGGGGAGATTCAGGGAGAAACAGAATGTGTTCTCCGATGGTGTGTGAAGTTTGCGCGTTGCCTCTTAACCTTTCAGGTGGAAACTCTCAAGTTTAATTTCTCAGAAAAGTCATGTGCCTGTATTAAGCTACTGCTTACCTTTGCAATCTTTTTCTCTGTTTAAAATTACATGTAGTATTACTTGAAATCTAGGGTTATTATTAAGATGGGCATTATAGTTCACAGTGAATGATGGGTCCTAATTTTGGTTGGAGTCCAGAGAAGGAAGGGAAGGTTATTTCTAGAAATCCTTTCTCCTTGCGCTGGACCAAATGACTTCTTACCCTTGTAGTGCACTCATTTCTTTGTGGGGGTTTGTTTTGTTTGTTTTAAAAATATTCCTAACACCCGCCTAGTAGGAGAACCTTCTAAATGAGCAACCCAAATAATGGTTCTTGATAGAGGTTCAGTATTTTCTCCATTTTGTTATTTAGGAGATTTTAGTTATTGATTGTTGTTTTGTTTTAAGCCATAGCTTTAAAAGAATTCAGAGGGGATCCCTGGGTGGTGCAGCGGTTTGGCGCCTGCCTTTGGCCCAGGGCGCAATCCTGGCGACCCGGGATCGAATCCCACGTCGGGCTCCCAATGCATGGAGCCTGCTTCTCCCTCTGCCTGTGTCTCTGCCTCTCTCTCTCTCACTGTGACTATAATAAATAAATTAAAAAAATTTAAAAAAAAATTAAAAAAAAATAAAAGAATTCAGAGGAGAATGTTCATAACTAACTTGGAATTTGTAACCTCAGCTCTGGGAGAGGATTTTTCCTGAACGACTATTATCTAATGGAAGTATGTTGTTGCTTTAGGGTCATGGCATGCTTGTTCTTCTGTTACCATATTTCCATAGTATTACGTACAAGTGCCCTTAGGGGCCCATACATTTGGGATGGTATGAGTAAATGTGCAGTGTAGCCCACACTTGAGAGTATGAATGTATACGCACTGTCACTTTGCTCTGGGTGGAAGTTGTTTATTGGTAACTTGTGTCCCCTATGCTCTATAGCCCCCTTTTGAATAGAATATGTTAAAACTCATCTCTATGTATATAAATAACACTGCCTCTGCTGGGTGGAATTTGCATCTATGGTTTTCTTCCAAACTTTAGAGTTCAGTCTCCCCTAGCTACCTTTCCTTGTTGGAGAGTTGGGAGAGAACTCCTTAAATCTTGACATTGAGGGTGGAGGATTCACCTCCCTCTAGAGCCAGATGGTGGGAATAGCAAAGAAAAGTGTGAGATCAGAACATTGTGGCCTCTTGGAAGAGAGTCGTGGAGAAGGGGCCTTTCTTTTAAGGGGATAAGAAACAAACTGAAGACTTCTAACTATGGAGCATTTTAAGAGTCAGATGAGTTGGAAGGATGGATGCTTGCCCCAGGTCATGGACACCTCCACAAATCATCTAGTTTCCCAGTATTTTTATAAATGGAGATTGGGCCCCATGACACTTTACTCGGTCTTCCTTCTTACATAGGTTTTTTGATTACCCTTTCTCTCCTTGGTGCTTATATACTTAAGACCCTTTAGCCAAACCCTTGCCAATGACAGTATTTCAGTCACTAGTTCTCACTGTTTCCTCTGATCATTGAGCCTTTGGAAAAAAAATCTCACAGAGCTTATATGTAATGGGGCTTGGTTGAACAGATGACTTCCTGTAAGTGCACCTCTACTTCTGGCTTCTCAAAAACAGTGGGTTGGCAGTAATGCAGCGTGGAAGTTTTCCCATTTCTCAGTGACCAGATTGTGAATATTTCCAAATGGATTTTCTATTATTAATGTTACCATGGTTCTTTGTTTTGAAATAAAAATTCTGAATGTACATGTGACATCATGGGCTTGGTTTTTTGGATTTGTTTTTGTTTTTTTTTAAGATTATTTATTTATTTATTTATTTATTTATTTATTTATTTATTTATTCATAGAGACACAGAGAGAGAGAGAGAGGCAGAGACACAGGCAGAGGGAGAAGCAGGCTCCTTGCAGGCAGCCCGATGTGGGGCTCGATCCTGGGACTGCGGGATCACACCCTGAGCCAAAGGGAGATGCTCAACCGCTGGGCCACCAAGGCGTCCCTTTTTTTTTGTTGTTGTTGTTGTTGTTGTTTTTTGTTTTGTTTTTTGTTTAATGAGGAAATTGAGCCCAATGAATGAATTGGCAAAACGGGCTGGCATGGCACCTCTGTCTCTCGACTCAATGCTTGAGGACTGGCATAAAGTTAAGTAGCCGATGAGGTGTAAGGGTGCCAGTTTCTGCATATAGTTACCAAAATATTTAATTAACAAGTATTTAAATTATTTTAAATATTTTACTTATTTACTTGAGAGAGAGAGAGTATGAGTAGGGGAGTGGGAAGAGGGAGAAGCACACTCCCGCTCAATATTGGGGGGTTACCTCCAACCCAGGACCCTGGGATTATGACCTGGGCAAAGGTAGACCCTTAACCCAGGTCCTCAAGAGGTGCCCAAGTGTTTTATCTTTACCAATCTAAAGTGTGAAAGGGATCCTATACTTTTAGGTTTACATTTTTATTATGACATTGGGTATTTTTTTAGAGTTAGGAGTTGTTTGCATTTCCTTATCTGAGAACCATTTGTATGTATCAGAGGTAAAATATTTTGAAAAGGACATGTTTTAGTGAAGAAACAAGACAAACTGAATAGAAAATAGATTTTATAGGTAAAATAGTTATCATATGGCACACCAAGTCCACTCCTAGGTATATTACCCAAGAAAAATGAAAAAAGATGCCTGGGTGGCTCAGTCGAGTGGCTGCCTTTGGCCAGGGCGTGATCCCTGAGTGCTGGGATCAAGTCCCACATAAGGCTTCCCTCAGGGAACCTGCTTCTCCTTCTGCCTATGTCTCTGCCTCTCTCTGTGTCTCTCATGAATAAATAAATAAAATATTTTTTTAAAAAATGCTTAGGGCAGCCCTGGTGGTGCAGCGGTTTAGCGCCGCCTGCAGCCCAGGGCATGATCCTGACGACCCTGGATCGAGTCCCACATCAGGCTCTCTGCGTGGAGCCTGATTCTCCCTCTGCCTGTGTCTCTGCCTCTCTGTGTGTGTCTCTCATGAATAAATAAATAAAATCTTATGATAGTAACACAGAGAGAAAGAGAGAGAGGCAGAGACACAGGCAGAGGGAGAAGCAGGCTCCATGCACCGGGAGCCCGACGTGGGATTCGATCCAGGGTCTCCAGGATCGCGCCCTGGGCCAAAGGCAGGCGCCAAACCGCTGTGCCACCCAGGGATCGCTGCCCCCATTCTTCTAATATTTTAATTGAGATAACATTGAATGTAAATTCATGCAAGGAGCACCAACATTTTAAAAATATTAAGTTTTCCTATCTGTACAGTTCTCACAAGAGTTTTGGTGGTTTTTTTTTTTAAGATTTTATTTATTTAGGGATCCCTGGGTGGCACAGCGGTTTGGCGCCTGCCTTTGGCCCAGGGCGTGATCCTGGAGACCCGGGATCGAATCCCACGTCGGGCTCCCGGTGCATGGAGCCTGCTTCTCCCTCTGCCTGTGTCTCTGCCTCTCTCTCTCTCTCTGTGACTATCATAAATAAATAAAAAAAAGATTAAAAAAATATTGAAAAAAATAAATAAAATCTTAAAAAAAAAGACATATTACCAATCCCCCACCCCCATTTTCTTACAGTAAGTGCTACGCCCTAGGTGGGGCCTGAACTCGTGATTCTTGAGATCATAGGTCCCGGCTCCACTGACTGAGCTAGCCAAGTGCCCCCATTAAAAAAATAAGTAAATCCTCTACCCTCTTAATTTTTCCTTCACTCAATACGTTTAAAACATAAATGAGGGGAAACCCTGGTGGCGTGGCGGTTTAGCGCCACCTGCAGCCCAGGGTGTTATCCTGGAGACCCGGAATCGAGTCCCACGCTGGGCTCCCTGCATGGAGCCTGCTTCTTCCTCCGCCTGTGTCTCTGCCTCTCTGTGTGTGTGTGTGTCTCTCTCATGAATAAATAAATAAAATCTTTAAAAAAGGGATCCCTGTGTGGCGCAGCGGTTTGGCGCCTGCTTTGGCCCAGGGCACGATCCTGGAGACTCAGGATCGAGTCCCACGTCGGGCTCCCGGTGCATGGAGCCTGCTTCTCCCTCTGCCTGTGTCTCTGCCTCTCTCTCTGTGTGTGTGTCTCTCTCATGAATAAATAAATAAAAATCTTTAAAAAAAAGTTTCAAACTGGGACGCCTGGGTGACTCAGCAGTTGAGCACCACGGCATGATCGTGGAGTCCCAGGATCGAGTACCACATCGGGCTTCCTGCATGGAGCCTGCTTCTCCCTCTGCCTGATGACTCTGCCTCTGTGTCTGT